ATGCTTGGATAATTTTCTCTATACTATTGTGTGCACCTTGTGTGGGTCCCTTGTCAGACGCACCTCGTTGCTCGTTCTTTTCCGATTAAAACGCGAGATAAGAAAAATTGCGATTATTGCGGGGGACATGATTGTTCAATCGTTTAATTACTTTAATTGCCTCACCTGTAGACTTCGATTCCCGTACTGTCGTCCGATGTAATAATAAAGTTCATTTAAAGATACTACTGAAAATCTGATTTTATCGACTTCATGCAAATTGGACCGATCTGTCAGCATTGCCATAAAAAGAGTTTGCCTGATAATTTCTATTTAGCAGAAAAATTGAAGTGTAAAATATAATTTTATAATATATTGTAATATATAGGCAAAAATATATTGTAATATGTAAAATTACAAAAAACTTGTCTATATATATTGAACAATACGTTAAACTGCGAAAAGCAAAAAATCGTATTTAACTGTTATTCTCGCAAAAAAAAAAACATTTTTCATTTCCTGAATCGCGATACAACAATGTATTACAAATAACAATCACAAGTAAATCTAAGCCAAATATAATCTTCTACGAATAAAAACGAATTTCAGTGCCAAACAATTTAACGTGTAAATGCGAAAAAATACCGTAATACTATGACGGTTGAATTTTTGTAATTTCATAAAAATATGTAAAAATATGTAAAAATATGTACAAATTAGTACTTCTTCTGACGCTCTATTACAAATTTTTACGGAAAGGTCGTAGTTCTAGTACATACGCTACTTAACATCTCATTACAAATTATTATGAAAAACAAAGATTTTCTAAGAAAAAGAATTTCTTTTGTCTCAATCTAGAGTAACTCCGATATATATATATATATATATATATATATATATATATATATGTTTTAATTATTAAAAAACATAGAGATATTTTGAAGAAATAATATTACATATCTCTACCAAAGTAAATATTTCGATAAAAAATGCGTTTTTGGAATGCTAAAGAATAGTACAATTTATAAAAAAATAAATAATTGTATTTATGTTCCAAATTTGATTCATTTAACTGTTTTGTAGTGTCAAAACAAATAAATCAAATTTGGAACATAAATATAATTATTTATTTTTTTATAAATTGTATTTTTTAGCATGCCAAAAACGCATCTTTTATCGAAATATTTACTTTGGTAGAGACATGTAATATTATTTCTTTAAAATAAATCTCACATTGTATATTTTTTAATAATTAAAGCAATTTTTATGATAAAATCATACACGTATCAGTTATGAAAAACCATAAAAAACATTTGTTGGATAAATGTTTTCTTCATCTTTAAAATTTATTAAATTTAGTTTAATCTATTTTCTATATATTCTGTATTCTTTAACACGTTGATAACATTTATACATTAAAATACGTTTTTTATTCACATTATTAAAATCTCTAAATTTCCTGACTTCTGCAAACTTTTATAGCAAACGGTAAAAAAAATAAAATACTTTCATAAGCAAGTAAAGTTCTCACGAAATTTTTTTATTTAATTTGGAAAATGTTGACAAAAGGCACACTATATAATCATATTGAAATAAATTGCATTTAAAACGGGAATGATATATGTTTGCTGGGAAAATATTAAAAATGGAAAAATTACGTAATCAAGTAATATTAATCTTTCTACTGTTATTTTTTATTGATGCTACAAAGCAAAAGATGCCAAACAATAGAGATATACCATGAGATATACGAATGTACTCCAAGTCAGTTCGATTTGCAGTTAAATCGTCATTCAATGCAATCCAACGCAATCCAATGCAATAAAATTCGTCCAAAATCGGAGATAAGTAGGTACAAATAAATTTCCGTACCATTCCCTTCAACTATATATTCGCAACTGCGAGACGATCACACTCGAATGTATACACTATTGAATATTAGTAAAAACTTGATCTTCCACCGTCATGAGACAGCTAATGACATATATTTGAAAGTAGAACATGTTACGTATGTCGAATTGCCTATGTATTACGTGATTGCGTTGACAAATAGTTTCAACCTTCATGTATAATTTAAAAATTCTAACTACAATCATACAGTGTCCAGTTACATATTTTTTTATTTTAATAAGATTTTATTTTTGATTCATAAGATTTTGTACAATTTCACTTCCTTGTGGAACACATTTGATTGTTCAATACAGCAACCTACAAGAAAGATGCATTATCTAAATTCAAATTGAAATGTATCTTCACATAGAAAATAGCGAAATGATAATAAAATAACTGAATTTGACTGTTCAATACAGCCTACAAAAAAGATGTATTATCTAAATTTACTTAAATTGAACTGTATCTTCACATAGAAAATAGCGAAATAGTAATAAAATTACTGAATATCATTTACAATAAAGATTTAATAATTTTTCTTTCTTCATTTTTTTATCAAAAATATCATCAATTGGCTGTATCTTTGTTGTTGTTAAGATTGTTGTTTGCATTGTCGTGACTTATTGGAGAATCAGGTACATCTTTATTACTTTTGTCAAGGCTTTTGTCGTGACTTTCGTTAAAACTATTGTTAAAATCTTTGCTCGTTGTTGCTTCAGCAATATAGCCGTTCGTAAGATTGGGTTCTGTGCTTAACGTTACATCACGGATACACTTTCTTATCTCGTGACCGATAGCAGCTGCCAACGGTGGTGGCACTGCATTGCCAATTTGTCTATGTTTATCGGTTATTGTACCGAAGAAACGAAATGAATCGGGAAAAGCTTGGGATCTCGCACACTCTCTCACGCTGACAACTCGATTTTGCGCTGGATGCAAGACACGGCCCTGAAAATCAATTATTACAGATGAACAACACATTTAGCCTCTACGTTTGAATTATACATATACCGGTAAAATTATATCGGTGAAATTTTAGAAATATGTCAATTTACAATATTTTAAGAAATTATTTAAAATCAGCGATCTCATACGTTGTATTATTTTAAATATCTATCGATTTACCATTTTGCCCATCGGCTCTGGATTTGTAATAGTCGTACTGAAAAATCCCTTCCATTCAATTCTCCCGTACAGACCCTTCCAATTGTTGTGTCGGCTCGAGGTATGTGGCAAACACCATGGAATCAAAGTATTAAATTGCTTATCAGTAGGATCACATGGTTGTGATTTGCCGGTACTGCAACTGCATACTCCGCGAAATGCATTTGTTGAGCTTCTCCCAGCTTTCTCGTCATCGTGCGTATATTCTCTGAAAAAGAAAAAGAACGACAAAATTCAAATTTGATCAATTAATCATTGTAATCAAAGAATTTACAAAAACTTAAGGGACTCCACACGACTAAAAAAAACAGTGATCTTTAAAAACTTT